CAAGCTTGCAATGAAGTACCAAACCCGAAGGAGGAGAGTTTTCCCAGTAATTTCACATGCGACACTTTGTCGAATGCCTTACTGTAGACTATAAACACGGCATCTATTGGCAGCTTGCAATCATGGGCTGTAACCCGTTCCTCTCTTGCGATAAGGAGGCTAGTTAGACAGGAGTGCCCAGCATGAAAACCATGTTGCTGTGTTGCCAAAAGATTGCTTGAGTTCACATTATTAAGTACCATGTCACGAATTATTTTTTCTAAAATCGTAACAACTATGCTAGTTGGACTCACAGGGCGATAGTTAGACACCAAATGGTGACCACCGTTCCCTATGACTGGGCTGATTATGGCATCTTTCCAGTCTCGAGGGAGGCGGGTCTGAGTTAGTGACATGTTGAGAAGATCCGTGGCTGGCTCAGCAATCATGTCCGCTAGCGAGGATAGACGTCTGGGATGTGACGCATCGGGACCTGGGGATTTTCCAAGTTTAAGGTTATTGATCAACTGTAAGACTTTCCTTTGTTGTGAGCACTGTATCTATTCGTGGAACAGTGCTGACACCACTATTTAGCACTTCATCGTCATGATCTACAGAGAAGACTTCACGAAAGTAATCAGAGAGACATTCAGCTTTGGACAGATTAGATTCCGCCAGACTATCGGACTTCTCACCCGTCGCTAGCGAGGGGATTCCGCCTTTTCTTTTGGTCCTCCTTCTGACGGGTGCGAACAGTCTTTTAGGACAATTTTGGCAATCCCTCACAAACTGCTTCTCGTAGGACATTCGAGACTGTGTAATCAAAGTCTTGCAGAGATTACGGACTTTACAGTACTCAGTCTTAAATGTTTCTGGTCTAGTTTCGAGAAGCAAGTCCCATAAACGTTTCCTCCACCTTAACAGTCTCTTAATATCTTTATTAAACCACGGAGGGCGATGTGAGGATCGTCGTGGAGTCGAACATGGAATAAATGGCGGCGTTACCTCTTCAAATAGAGTTCTAAACCTATTCCATGCATTCTCAATTGATGAGTCCTCGTCGACAGTCCAATCCTTACTGATTGAGCAATCCCTTATACTCGAAATGTCCGCACGCCATACATTAGGTCTAGGGGAGGCAGTGTCACAATCAAACTCATTAGTCCGAAAACCAAAAGTTAGTACTACATGGTCGCTGTTAGCTAATGGAGGGAAGTATCGTAGATCCAGAATGTTTTCACATTGATGGGTTAAAACTAAATCTAATAACGATGGTTTGTGTTCAAAATCGTAACGTGTTGCACATGTTACGTTTTGAACTAAAGCAGATTCTAAGACCATCAAAAGTCATTTTCGAAGGAACCACCTGGTGGTGAGACTTTTAGCTCCGTCCAGTTTTGTGTGGAGCATTCAGATCCCCAACTATTAGGCATCTGTTACATCTCCAGTTACGTATATGGGTTAGCACGAAGTCATTTGCAAGGTAAGATGGACTACAGTAAATGACCCCGATAGTACAGAAACTATGCTTTGACTTCAGCTCGCAACTGGCCACTTCACAGGTCCCGCATTCATGTGCTTCAGAAGTGACTAATCGTACATGGACGTCATCACTAACGTATAGTAGTGTGTCGCCACCTTTGCGACCCACAACCCTATCCGTCTATTACACAGTAATGCCCTGCGAGGAGTGGCGTAAAATCTAGATCCTTGATCAACCAGGTTTCAGTAAGGGCTACTACGTCAGGACCTAGCTCGCAGATTAGATTCTCGAGGTCTGTCATTTTGCTTCTAATACTGCGAAAGTTAGTGTAGATAACTTTCATTGTGTTGGAAGAGTTCCATGACCAACCCATATAGGCCTTGGAAGCATTCGCTTCCAAGACCTCACAACCCGAAAACCCACTATTTTAAGATCATTTTCATCACTAGCCTGTCGAGCCTTAAGTTCGGCAACAGCTTCTCTTCTTTTTATGCGGTCCTCGAGGGGCCAGTCAGGTCGGATGCGGATATCCGAATTTCGTAGTTCGGTTGCGTTACTCAAGAGCACATCCACTTCATCCTTGTTGTCTAAAACAACCTTTAAAATTCTCTTCTCATCAGGCTTTTCGTTTATTTTCTTGCCTAGCCTAACTACTTTGGAGATATGTACCCTTTTAGAATTTTCAGGCAGAATACGTCTGATGGCCGACTCGACTAGTTGCAGGTCATGGCCGTGACGTATTGAGGCATCTTTGTCTAGTGACTACTCCACATTCCAGAAGATTAAACTGGGCGCTGGAGTGGAATGCTTGAGTCGTGTGTTGATGGCCTTTGAAACCTTCTCAATGGGTTTCATAAACTTAGTATCTTCCGTGATAACCTTTTGCAGTCTCTTCGGATGCTTTCTTGGAGAAATCCATGTAGATTCGTTGACCACTTTTACAGAGTCAACGCTGTTACCAGAGATGCAGGCTTTCGGTGAATCCTCAGGCATTATGGTCGGTGTACGATTTGCCCTTGGCTTTCTCTTGCGTCGAGTACGCTTCGGGACTGGTGTAATTTCACCAACTGGATCACCAGCATCCATTAGTCCACTGAGAGGCCCTGTATCAGAGATATTAACGATTACACTTGCAGCGTCATCGTCTGATACCGCATTAGAATGACAACTATCATTTCCACGTAGCTGTTTTTTGACAAGTAAATTTTCAACAGCTTCCTGGATGAGGGTTAGTAATGGCTTGCAGCAGAAATCACACGACCAGGGAGAAGCTGGTTTACTGCAAAGCTTGTACACGGTTGGTGTTAATCCTGTACAGACTTTGTGGAATCAACATCCACATGCATCACACTGCATACCTTCATCCACTGGAAATTTACAGCTGGGACGACCGCAAACATGCTTATCGCTGACCGTGTTATTCACTCATGTCGTGTACTAACTAAAGTACTCGGTCAAAATTCCGACAAGGGGACTTAAGTTGTGACAACACAAAGACCAACCTTAAGCCTCAAAAAGTGATTAAACTTCAAACACTGACTTAAGTACTTCAAATCAAGGGTTATATAAAAGCTCTTGATGTGGATTACACAACAAAAGCAAATATGTCAAAAGCGTGGAAAAATTCACTTCCTGTTTTCAAAGCGAGCTCAGTTAGTCATTCTGATTAACATCTACACTGCGAATTTTTAAGGTGTAGGTTTGTTACGTTGTGCACGTTGCATTACTACCTTTCGAAATCCTCCCCGGTTACATGGGATTGGGCGTATTTTCCCAAGGTTCCCTCTTATTAGATAGATTTTCTTTGAGCATTCAGGCTGTCATTCTCCTTTGTTTACGGGTGTCTTTCATTTTGCGGGCTGCTTTTTCAAAGAGCCGGCCAACTAGTACCGTTATTTCAATGCACTCTAAAGCCTCATATTCGAAAGTTTCAGGTCAGTCTTATCATCTTGTAGGGCAACAACTATTATTATCTGTGTGCACAACATTTCTTGTCAGTTACCTGACATATCCTACCTGTGTGAAACTACGAACTTAAACACCAGAGTTTCGCACATGTAAGTAAACTTTAAAAACGTAAAAAAATTCCTTGTCGACTTTTCCCTTTACTCTGTCATTTTTTGGCACTGCTTTCAACCATTGGTTTTTAAATAGAAATATTCTTTGAGCATGCATGTTTCCTTCTCATTTTAATGAATGTGATGGTTAAAATAACCTTATCTTAGGATTCGGCAGTCTTATCTCCTCACTCTCTCAGTCTGGAAATGTGAAGAATCATACTTCCCTGGTTTTTCCATTTTCGTGCCCAGGAAATTCTTCATCGGTCTTTAAAAAAGCATCTAAAACTTGCAAAGGGTTACTTCTGCAAGTCGTTTCCGAACGAGTTTTATTCTACTCCTGTTTTTCAATCTGACCCAAAATACATTGATGAAATCGTCGCGAAAGAAAACGTGTTGGTGTTCGAAATATTTTTTGTATATCCTTGACATATGCTTATGCATTTCGACATATTATAAGGGTATGTGCAATGGTATGGCTTGCAAAACGGCTATCAAAGTCCACACCCACTAATTCATGTTTAGATCACTTGAAATCGTGGATGGATGGGATACGTAGTCTGTTATCAGGCTTTACATTTTAAAAATTTGTTGTCGTTGGTGCTTATTTCTTTTCTAAGAAACAGCACTAGTTCTAAATCCATTGGGAAGTTTTTTCCACGTTTATGCATGTATATAGTCTCTACTCGTATCGATTGTACATCATAGCGAGGTACAGTGTTCTGTTTGTGGGTGTTTTATTTTCCTTAGCCCACATTTAACTTGGTGTCGGACTGACGTCATAACTTCGATGCTAAACCTATACTGTGGCAGGTTTCTAGTTATGCAGTCCATAATTAAACACAAAATAACAAATCGTAGACTTATGTCATTGGCGATGACTACTAGTTTGATAGTTTATCGCACAAAAACGTGGGAGTCCTCACAAAAATTCATTGGTTCAAGTTTATTATTATATGACTATGCAGGAGGAGAAAATAAAGTTGGAAGGATATTGAAACAAAAGGCAAGAGCAATCGGTGAATAAATGATTAGTAGTAAGATTTTTCGGGACAATAAACAGTATTATCCATGCCATTGTGGTCGATTTAAGTCATGCCATGTGTACTCTCTTGCTTTTGGTTTATAATAACTGTATAGAGTTATGGCTAATAAAACCGAACATATATACTCAACACGTCTAAGATCGGTCACTTAATTGAAATAACTCACGGTTTTCATTTTACAAGGTTTATTGTTGGTTGGTTGGTTGGATATATCTTTAACGTAGCCAAAACAATTTAGTAAGATGAAAACTTTCAGGAAATACTGGCGTTATTCATACTTAGGATTTGTGTTCATTGTTTTACTTTTGATTTTGTTTAGGTCCTTGTGAATTTTTACGCTCACTCATTTAGTTCTGAATCAACTTTAATTTCTTAAGATACTTGAGACCTCGGTCGTCAGTAAACAATCAGCTACTCATTACATTATGAGTTATTATGAGTTCACTGTCGAGGTAAGTTATATATACATACTCCGATTGTCTCTTATTAATTTCCTTCATTTTCGCATTAAAGCTGTCAGATGAGGTTAAATGTGACGATTTTGCGCAAATTCCTAACTCGTAACTACATTGTAGGTTCCAAGATTTAAAGTTAACCGTCTATTAAAGCACTAGGATAAATAACACTGATGACATAAAGTGGAATCGTTTAGTAATCAGTGGTTATTTTTGACATTATGTTTTATTGTCAGCCAACGAACCATAGCTTGACACCTATTCAGGGGCACGTGGCAGATACGTAAACAAAGTGGTTAGCCTCTACTAACCTTTCATTTAAATCAAAGCTGTCTACTATCCATCTCAGCTTACTCAGCTACAAGTTTTGCAGAAGTACTGAGTAAAGTGTCCTTAGAATATAAAATTCTTTCAAATATAGTCTCACTATTATGCAAGTCGAAGTAAAACGTGACTAGCACTAACAATGGAAAAATTTTAACTTGAGGTGTTCAGTCCGATAGGTTAAAAGTGTGATGACAAAATGTGATCTAAGGAATAACTCACCTGCGATTGTTCATGTTAGGGATAATCTTATATGTATTTTTGGAGGACTAACAACAAAATTACTTTTGTACTTTAGTGTGCCCTTTCTCCATTATAATTTAGGTCTAAAGTTTATTCTGTTCATAGAATATCCTTTATCATGGAGATTGGGCTGGGAGTTATTTAAAATCACATGGTCATACTTATTAGGTGAACCAAGGATATGTGTAGGCTTCTTCGTCTTCTACTCAGTAACGTTTTCGAAGACAGAAGATGTTCAATTCTTTGCTTTCAGATGAGGAGAACTTTCAATGATTCAAACAGTTGCATAATTCATTCGCTTCGAGAAACACTCATCAGGGTATCGGAAGATGTTTTAATGCATTCGTCATAGACATATATTGGGAGGATTTCTACAGTGCATTATTCTGATGCATTTTATTCAATCCGGGAATGTGGCATGATTGTAAATTTATGTATGAAATTAGTCATATTGGGGATAATGGTCACTGAATAAGTTACTTTTTGGGATTGTGGATATGCAGATTATTAGTTTACAAACTGTTTTTGTGTACTGTGGTAAAATGCTTGACTACTGAGCTGGTCAAGCAATCTCATCAAAATGTTTGCAGTCTCGGTTAACAATGAGTAGAGCAGCAGTGATTGATATCATTCTTTTACTGGAAAGTATTAGGACTATAGAGAATACACCATCATTATGTGAATCTATGTATTTGCTGTGTATATTTTTATAAAGACATTACATTTTATAATTTCCTTTGTTGAGAACTGACTGCCTTGGTTGGATAAATCGAAAATTACATGCTTACATGTTACACGAGCGAGTTTGATTTAATCACTAAGTTAGCAATTACATTCGAAAATCAAGTAGGCCTGTATTACTCAAATCTGCATGTTAACACGCATGTAGTTTAAGTTTATTTCCTGAATACTGTTTCATTTATACGGCGCAATACAAGATGAATCTTTCTGTATTAAGTTGTGCAACAGTTATATCCCATTTTAGATTTCTTTAAAATGCAAGTAATTTGGAAACTGCTTCGACACTACAGAGTGCCACAAACCTTTATCAACCTCACTCAACAGCTATATCACGACGCTACATGCCAAGTGATTCACAATGGAAAGTCCAGCGATGCCTTTGCAGTAAACATAGGAGTAAGACAAGGTTACCTACTATCACTGATGATCTTCCTGATTGTGGTCTACTGGACTGGATCATGCGACAAACTATGAGGAGCGAGGAGAGGGGCATACACTGTTTGATCGATGAAAAGACCCTAGAAGATTTGGGTTTCGCCGATGATGGTTTATGTCTGGTATCGCCCAAACTTGAAGATCTACAGGCGTAAACCAAAAGGTTGGTAAAAGAGGCAGCGAACTTCAGATCAATGTAGAAAGGACAGAGATGATGAAGATACCGAACCAACAACAACGAGAACCAATCACCATCAACGGGAGAAATCTAAAACGAGCGGTCTCTTTCACCTACCTACCTAGACAGCCTCGTTTCAACTACAAGCGGCGGCAGCACAGATGAAGATGTCAAAACCAGGATTGGAAAAGCAAGACAGGCCTTCATTAACCTGAAATCAGTGTGGAGATGTACTGCACTCCACTGCACTCAGCATAAAGAGCAAGATCCGGATTTTCAACACTAATGTCAGTTAAGTCAGTATTTCTATGTGGTTCAGAAACTTGGTGCGTCACGAAAAGCACTTCCAAAAAACTGCAAACAATCATCAACAGCTACCGCCTCCACTCGCTCGATACTGAAGATCAGATGGCCAGAAAGAATAAGCAACAAGGAACTATGGGAACGAACCAACCGAGGACCTATCGCTCAAGAAATATGCAGAAGGAAGTGGAGATAGATTGGACTAAGCATACACTGAGAAGACCATCTGGGGACATCACGCGCCAGGCCAGGCCGTTGGGTGGAACCCAGATGGGAAACGACGAGTTAAGCGTCCGAGGGTAACATGGAGGAGTTGGTGTGAGGAATAAATAAAAGCTTCTGGGCAGCCGCGGAACCAGCTTCAAAAGACTGCAGAGAACAGAGTGGAATGGATACGTGCTACTGAAGCCCTGTGTTCCACTAGGAACCCAAAAGACAAATAATATAATAAATAATACTGAAGATAATGACCATTCATGATACATATTCCTGAAAACACTTTATTTTCAGTAGGGAATGATGTGATGACCTGCTAATGTAATATCATGTATATTATCATTTTAGAAGGTACTAGCCGTAGCGTTTGATGTCAGCAAAATGGATTAAGCCCTCTCTTTCTCGTATGATAACATATCACATAGTAGTTGTTGGCGAAATCTTTTACGATTATCGTGAGGTTCTTAACGAGAGTGAAAGGGTGTGAGAGAATACCTTACGCTTAATGAGTTTTGCGAATCTACTTTTTCATTTTGGGCAGTTTGCAAAATATAGATTCCAAACTACATTTTCCTCAGTACCCTAATGGAGTGAACTAGGTGTCGACTTTTACCATCAACTTATGGCCGTAAACATTCCCAGCGTTTTATAGCTTTCTAGATTGTAATTTTCAGTCGAGGATTCAAGTTGAGAGGTTAACCCGATGGGAAAACAACGACATACCTTCAGTCTATGATAAGAAGCCTTTTGGTACGTACCTCGATTTCTCCATTTTATCCGCTGAATATATTTTAACACAGAATAAATTTTGCTTTCGTGAATTTTCTAGCCCTTTCACAAATTTGGTGGAGTCCTCTGTTCTTCGTGAATCAAGTTACAATGACAACGAAGTGACAGTTTTAAGGTCCTTGATAGACAAAACCTGTAAATCTGGATATGTTGAATTGAAAAAGCTCATTCGCAATCTTAATTTACCTTCCTCACATCCTTTGCGTAAAAGTTTGTGGCCACAACTTTTATCGGTTAGATACTCTATAAACATCCAGGTCAGTCGTTTAAGGTAAATATTCTAAACTCATCTTTTGCGTGACACACTTTCTTTTGCTTCAAGTGTTTTTCGTCGTTTCTTTTTGTCTTGCATCTAATTTTATTATGATTTATGAGAGAAATTATCGTTCAGCATGCTTTCAGAAACACATTTACGTGTGAACTATGTCTAGTTCATTTCGCGAAGTTGACATCTTTACTAGTGGTACTACTTACACTTTATCCCTCTACTGCCTACTATTGGTATATATGTATGTTTATGACTAAATAACAAAGGATACAATTCAATGCTGTAAAGGTGCGTGCTAGCCTCAGCCACACTTATTTTTTTCAAAACAATAATCCAGACAATAATTCTTAATGCAGTATGAAATTCTCAGTGTGATATTTACAAGCACTCCTTTTACAGTATTTTCAAATTAAATAACCACTACAGTTAGGTAATGTTTATAATAGCAGTATGATAAGCGATAGTACACAACGGTCAGGTGTTTTTTGGTTGTCGTTTAGTTTGTGGGTATGTTGTTGCACCGGGAGGGGGAATAGAAAAGCATCTATAGGTTTGGTTGTGGAGGGCTATTCAACCAGCATAAAAATTTGGAGTTCCTTCTAACCATCCCTGTAATACTTATGTGATGAACTGTTGTGAACTCAAGAGCCCACTGCCATCTACTGTGATATTTTTTTCAATTTTGTTGTTAATGTGTGTGACGATAAGTTGGAAACGTTGTAAGAATGCGCGAGAGTACGTTTGACGATCTGTTGACAGTTGGATAATTAAAACAAATACAAAAGGAGTAATTTTTTGTAACATACAGTGGGAAAGTTTTGGTAGCCCAAATTTTAAACAGACCGCCAGTTTTGTGTGAGGTCTTATGATACCACCCGTTTGCCAAAACCAAAGTGAAACTTGAACACAAAACCCTTTACTACTGCCAAAAATGCATTATACCTACTGGTTTGTCAAACATATCTAGGTCCCAATTTAACTTCCTAAATTATTCTCTTACAAAAGTTGAACTGTAAATATTTGCTAATTGTTCTTTCAGGTTTTATGTGGATTCTATTCCTAAGGTAGTATTCATCACGAACTGACATCACCTGTAGAACCATTGAAAACCTAGGAGCAGTGGACAGCTGTTTGTTCCTAGTATGAGACTCCTCAGCGGTGTGTACCCACGACCCTACCAGATATCTAACTTAAGACATTCAGGTTTCACGGCGGGTGTGTTAATTACTCAGTCAGTGAGTCAGAGTTCAGTGGCCTACAGTTCCATACTTCTGTCAGTTTGCGACACAACATGACCATCCACTTCCAACTAATTAACCCCATAGGTCAGCTGTCCAGTGCTCCTAGGTTTTCAATGGTTCTACAGGTGATGTCAGTTCGTGATGAATACTATCTTAAAAATTGCTATTTGAACGAGAACGAAGCTGGGAAAAACCTAGAACCCATAGTATGTTTCTGTTAGGGTAATCATTTTAGTCGACTGTAATTCTTTTCTTCTCTCTTAGATTTGTATCTTGTATAAAGTACTGCCCGTTTTATACTTCATCTTCTAGGTTCCTGACTCAGATATGCAGAGCAATGATATTTCACCAGAAAATATCGCAACTATTGATAATACCTCTATGGCTGGTTATGAATTTTCCAACCAAATGTTATTACCTACATTCTTCTTGAACTCACTAGGTCGGAAGTGTTTGCGAATGATATTACACAGCATTTTCATTGAGCGTCCAGAACTAGTTTATGCTCCACAGTTATGGCCGTTGACAGCATTATTTCTACACTACATGCCTATAACAGTTACTCGTAAATGCATACTGACTTTATTAGATCAACCGGGCGTTTTGATCCAAACAAAATCTAGCTGGAAGGAACACTGTTTAGCATTGGAAGAGCTGGCTTATATGTGTAACTTATTACGCAGGATGAATCGAAAACGGAAGGAAACATTGTCTTATGCACCAAACAAAAATAATGACAACATATGTAAAACGGATGTTATGCAACTCCAGTTAGCACGCTGGTGTTTATTACTTTGGCAGTTACCTTTTGACCATCTCGTTTGCTTGATCGACAGCTTTTTGTTGGAAGGCCCGAAAGTATTTTATCGTGCTGGTTTAATTGTAAGTTCTCTGTTTATATAGTATCAGTAGTTTTATCACTATCGAATATCACGTTTTTTGTGTATATAGTGTATCTTGGAGGGTAAGACATGTACACAATAGTCAAACTAATGATGTATCATTAAACAGGCATCATAGTCCATTCCAAATCAATACAGGACGGGGCATTACTGCGTGATGGTCCGAGTTGCCACAGCCCATATCATTACAACAAGTAAAAAGGCAGTGAAGTGGAAGTTGGAGATAAAGAACTTCAGTCAAAAGAAATATAAAGTACGAAAGAGAGAAATGAAGAATGAGAAAATGGTGAGATTCAGCATAGCGTCGTTAAGATGAGGATAGTGTATGTATACATCTGCGCCACTGACTGGTTTTGAGCCATATCACCCAGAGTCTCCAACCACTGGTTCCTCTTGTCCCGCGAACCCCGGCCGCCTAGTCTGCATCTCCCCACATAACTCAAACCAACAGTCAAAGACTTCATACATTCTTGCCATGTTTTAGTCTGGCCACCTCGAGCCTTTTTCCAACCTGAACCTACTTCGCCCAACATTGTGTGACGAGATAGACGGCAACTAGACATAAGTAACACGTATCCCAACCATCCTTGTCGATGAAGGTTCACGACCATGTCAACTGATTCACCTCTTCTCCCCACAACTCTACACCTAACTTCTGCATTATTCACCTGGTGACACCACGCAATAAGGCCTATACTTCGGAGGCACAATGTACTCAAACATCTGAAGCCTTCTCATGTCTTTCGCCCTCAATTGCCATGCTTCACAGCCACACAGCACAACAGACTGGACTGATGTGTAGTACACACGGCCCTTAGTAGACAATCGGATATCACGGTGGCGCCACAGGTGGCGTGAGATGGCAAAATCCAGTCAAGCCTTTTGTATTCGTGCAGAAATTTCGTCGGCCACTGAGCCACCAGGGCAGGGCTGATCCCACTTCCCAGGTAAGTGAAGTGGTCGACACACTCAACCACTACACTATTCTTAGCCGAGGCACTGTTGAAGACCAATCCTGGAGCAACAATTTGCTTTTGGGTGGTGAAAAACGCATCCCAAACATTCTCAAATCACCATTCAAAGTGTTCAGACAACTCTGCATCTTGCCAGTGTCTTCACCTAACAGGACTATGTCATCTGCGTATTCTAGGTCTAACTAAAATTCTCCTGCGATTAGGTCAATCTCTGTGTAGTCAGCTGATCAGAGGGAGACCTGCATAAGAATACCTATGATAAAATTGAATAAGAATGGAGATAGTGGGCACCCTTGACGGACACCACTCGAGGAGCACAGTTCACCCGGACATCTCACCATAGGCTCTACCATGTCCACAAGTGTTCGAGTTGAGAGTCTTCAATAAAATGATGTACTTACTCGTCACGCCTATCAGTGAGAGACATTGCCATAAGACTTCTCGATCAGTGGAGTCGAATGCCGTCACCTTCAGGTCAAGAAACACAGCTAGTGTCAGGCGTCGGTAAGCCCGCCTGTGTTCCAGAGCCTGGCGCAGTGTGAATATTTCGTCAATACACCTGTGGCCGGGTCTAAGGCCTGCCTGGTTTGCTCAGACTTGCTGTTCCCGAGCTCCACTCAGGCGTCGAAGAATTATGGAACCTAGAATCTTAGACACTATGCTCGTCAGGCTGATTCCTCTGTGGTTATCACAAGAGGACTCCTCGCTTTTCTTGAAGACTGAGATGATCAGTGATTTAGACCAGTCGGAGAGGATCGTATTTGACTCCCATATACTGGTTAACACTGCCGTTAACATGATTAAGAGCGCCTACCTTACCACCATCGTTGCATACCTCAGGAGTTAGTCCATCTGGTCCTGCCGCCCTTCCTCGTTCCAAGTTACCTACTGCTTTCTCGACTTCTGCAAGTGTTGGAGGGTCTGTTTCAATATTCCATTCAGTATCCGACTGAATAGCGGGCAATGCAATGGTGGTTGGAGTCCAGTTAAACTGTTCCTCGAAGTGTTCTGCCCATCGTTCCAGTCGTCTCCCATACAAGTGGACCACAGATCCGTCCTCCTCCGCTATAGCCTCACTAACCGTTGTTGACCTTTTCCCCCCAGTTTCCTTAATAAGTCTAAATAACTGCCTACTGTTACCAATCGCCACTGTCTTTTCCATCTCTTTAGACTTCCTTGCCCACCACTGTTCGCGGTCGTTGCATAGACTTTTTCGCAGTCTACTTTTAAGTTGTGCTCGCTCTTCATCGTACTCAGAGTTTGCAGGGATGCGTTCACGTGCATCCATTAGTTCGGAAGAAGCTGCTGATATCCATTGGCTCTTTAAGCCACTCATTTGGAGTCGGCTACAGTCTTCAGTGCTGCTTTTACAGCAGACTGGAGATGGCACAAAGCTTCTTCTAGATGAGTGGTAGTCTTCTGTTCCGATAACTGCTTAGGCAACTTCTCACTGAAAGCGGCTTTAGTGTTTGGTTGTCGAGCTGAACTCAGTGGTTTTGTTGCTAAATATTTCCTACGTCCATTGAGACGCAGGCATATGCGCGCTCGGACCAACGCACGGTCGCTATCCAAACATGTACTCCAGAAGGAGCTGCAGTCTTTCACCGATCCTCTGCAGCGACGACTGATAGCATTGTGGTCCATCTGTATCCATTTCTGAGTTGAACTCGGTGGACAGACATCATAGACTGAATTATACTACAGTAATATGCTTATGCTGATTACTCTATATTGAACTGACTGTTAGTAGAAAGAACTCTTCTCAGTTAATTGCTTTAAGCTTTGAGCACTCAGACGGGAAGTTATCTTAAATGAACTACGTATTTAATTAAAGTGAACAGAAGGGTTTATGTTGCTTGCAATTATTGTCCTATTTCACTTTAGTCTCTATTACCATGATTACGTAATGGTTTGTGTTCTAATACTTGGTAATTTCGAAAGTGATAATATTTTTCACACTGATGAGAAACCCTTTTGTTTTGGTTTAGTTTCTTTTCTCATCCTCTCAAATGGTTAAGTCATTTCTTTGAAGTGGATTGTCTGTCTTTGAACCGAAATTTGCAATCTCATTTCAGTGCATGGATTGCGGCTGAGTATATAATTCTGCATATAGCCGATAAAATACATTTACTATTTATTCCTCTTAAGCATTCAACATTACTTAGATTAAGAAATAGTATGTCCATGAGCTAGTGAAACCGTTCAGCATCAGCATTTATTTGACTTGGTACCAGAAAGGCAGAGGTTGTCAACTTAAGACTTGAAATCATTGCATAATGATCTGAGTTGTCACACTTCACATTAAATTCCAGGGTACACAAAAAGTGTCAATACTGTAACCAGAGGTTTTAAAAATCTATGAAAAAAGAATAGGGATTAAAGTAAATATCGAAATGTCATCTAATGATTAAGATAAAGGTAAGCGTGAATGCATCTGCCTCACCAAGATCGTTGCTGAGCCACATCACCTAGTCTCCAGCATTTGGTTCCGGTTGTCTCAGTCTCCAACGTGGTAGCCTTCATTTTCCTATGTAGATCAGCTCGACAATGATTTAGTTACAAATTTTTATCACCTCTCAATGTGGTCTACCTTAAATTTTTCTAAGTCCAACTCTGCTGTAGGTAACGTAGGATAGACAGTAGCTAGGCATGCGTGACACGTCCCAGCCACCTTAATTGTTTTTCGTTTACAACCTTACCAAACGCCTTACCTTTTAACTACGATCTTATACCTAACCTCTATGAGAATAATAGGATGGTCCCATGATGCACGATTACTTCTGTGAAGTCAACGGTGGCCAAATACTTGGAGTCTTCTCATTCTTTACAACTTTAATGATCATGTTTCAAATATAGAAGGACAGGGCGAACTGCTGTGCAGTAAACTCAACTCTTAGTAAGTGATCAGATCTCTCACCGGTTCTATAAGAGGTGTAGGTTGATAAGACCTAACTGGTCTTTCGTGTTTGTCTCAAGATTTTTTTGGTTATCAATGCATTAGGGGTGTGGCAACTTTATAAATAAGTGACAGCTGCTACTTTGACGTGGTGGTCGGGCTTGCATATCACAATGACCCAACGAGCTATGCTGGTGGAACGCTTGTTCCCTCGAGGTCCTACCATACCATAAAGGTCTGTTGGATAGTGGTTAGACGAAAAGCAGTTACCGTTATAGTGTAAATTGCTACACTATGATGGGGGTCTGAGGGCGAAGTCGTACTGCTGCTAGCTGGATGGGGTGTGACAGCAGTAAGGTGTTTCCCTTGGATGACCAGCAGTGCCATGCTGATGCTGCCTTCTCAGTGGAAGGGGGGGTTAGAAAAGGTCGGCCCCAAAAATAACACTCCACCTTGCCCCACGGTCTGCCGGGCCGGCGGTGTTGGTTCACTTGTCGTTTCCTTTCGACCATCCGGCCCCAAAACAACAAAAGTTCAAAATAACCATGCACAAAAGGCTGCGTGTGACAGACCTCAAGCAGATGTCCGATGAGCTCTACGATCACACAAATCTCTTTCAGGTACCTTAAGAAGAAATAACCTTCCACGGTGTGGGGAGCCGGGAAGTGTCAACCGCCCTCACAACTCTGTCAGCACTCAAGTTTCTTCTGATGATAAATAAGTGAAAGTCAAAGCTTTCAGCCACTCCACTCCCTATTGTTGGATGAAATATAAGTTCACGCCAGTCGGAGATGAGAAGCGCACCTCAAACATTCTTAAGTTATCACTTAACGTGTTTGAGAGGCTGCATCTCCTTAGTATGTTTGTCCAACCGAACTATATCATCTACGAACTCTGATTTCATCAATGAATCTTCTGCGAAGAAATCAGTCCTTGTAGAGTCAAACGAGATCTCGGCTAGTTAGTAAATGAAAATGTACCTCCCAATTCCCTTGGTATTTCTGGACGTGACATGATCCCGATCATCCTCTTGGACTACTCCGAAATGGCCGCGTGTTAACAGCCTTTGTGATGGCTGCTGTTTCCAAAAAAAGTGAGAAATTGAAAGCGAACGTCGAGCACTATCACCGGATTACTGTACTTCGAACATATAGTTACGAAAGTTGGAAAACCGTAGTTCGAAATCATCGGTGCACATACGCTGTACAATCCAGAACGAATGAATGGTGTAAGAAACTGCCTTAGTCACTGGATCAAAGTTCTAGTCAAAGGATACGAAATAGTCTTTTTAGACAACCGCCTGCTACAGCTTGGAAGTGCGGGGAATATGACAACGGACGTACAGTATATGAATCAACACTAACAATGAGTACTACAAGCAATCACCAAGTCTTCCTGCTAGGAACAAACTCCACTATGTACCGAACTTTCTAGTCGGTCGTTCCATTTATTCTCATTGTTTTTAGATACGAAACGCACGGCCTCTTCTTGATCTTTTTCAAAATGAGCTTTATATGTATTTTTGTTGCATTCAGCTGCCGATCACTGACTAAAATTCTTGCTTGTCTGTGTTCAAGATATTCAAGGTATGGATTGAAATGTACAGAATTGATATCTGAATATTGACAGCTACACTAACACACTGGAAATATTGTTGGTACTCATGATGTTAAGGGTATCTTTCAGCAGTTCAGTACAATCACTTTCTTCTACTAAGTTGTGCTGAACTATCCTCACTTTTCGAATTAAGAAACTATTCAGGCTGACTAGAAACGTTTTCACACCCGTCATAGTAAAAAGAATTGAAAATAAACGTTCAATTAATTATTCAATTTGAATGTAAAGGTCATCATAGAAAGAAAACCAAAGTATTTCTTGCCAACATAGATTAACGAAGCAAATCGTACAAACCAAGAGAAGTATTATCACACACATACACACACTTTATATATATATATATATATATATATATATATATATATATATATATATATATATATATATATATATATATTACAAATATAATCATCATAAATATTCCTTTCCTTGCTTTTATTTTAGATTCTTAAAGTGTCTTTATCTGGAATTCATAAAGAGGTAGGCAGTGCAAATAATAGGATCGTCAAAAACGATGATACTTCTCAAGTAGTTTTACATCTGGAGGAAACATTCAAATACATTCCATTCACACCGTCAAAATTAATGAGGAAAATGTTTACTTTTCGTAATTTTAGTCGTACAAAAATCACGGAAGCACTTAAAAACACTCAATATCTAGGTAGTTTTTATTTGATGAACTTTGTATAACAATTCTACTTTCTTTTTCATCATAAACTCACTTTGATAGTAAAAGGTAGTCGATACTGTGATGAGTGCTACTTACAAGAATATATATCAGTAGTATATGTAGCATCGTCGAAAAACACAAGTAGTAACGACGATCCCCTAGTGAAAATTCTAGACGACAAGAACACTGTAAACTGGGATTTCAAAAAGAAGAATGTTCGCTAATATGACTTTATTGCAAGGTGTGATATTTTAATAAATACCGATTGGTATCATTGTTTTTAGCCCCCTGTGTTCGAGTGGAGGGCTTTGGCAGGTCTGATGGGTATCCTGTACCCGAAGGTGAATATGGCCGTCCTTGGATATTTCGGAGGAGTTGGCTGGAGTTAGCGTATGATAACGTGGATGGTAAGATCGTCTGTGAAATTGTGGTGGTTAATGGGGGAGTTTGACAGCCTGGTGGAGGAGAGTCAGCAAGCAATGCAGCAGTTCCAGAGTACAAAGTTGATACTGGTGCTAACATTAAGCAAGGAGCTGTGTCGAGCGCTTTCTGCTTTGAATAAGGAGTGGAAGGTTCAGTTATTGGTTCCTCAGTTCATAAAAAGTGTTCCAAATACAATCACCCAGCAGTTACACCTCGTCAACTCAGCTAAGCCGTGGATATTAACGAGTCGGAAAAAGTTACTAAACAGTCAACGAGTATGGACATGGTTGTGTTGGAAGCACCAGAGGTAAGTCAGTGAGAGAGAGAGACAAAAAAAACGATATGCGGCGGCAGATAATCGCTCTCCAGTCGATGGAATAAGAGTTTTGTTTGTAGAAGAATGGGGAATTGTTAAAGAAACCGTACACAGAGAAACAAACGAAGATTCTTCAGAAACTACAAAGTTTTTTCTTTCTTTGTGATCAAACTTGCAAGTATGTGCATTAAACAAGGGTACAATGTACGCTGGACTACGGGTAAACGACCCGAAAGTTATGTAATTCATTGATACTGGGGCAGCCATATCCTTAATAGTTAAAACGTGATCTTAGATTTTAAAACCATATGCGTTGACAGTCTGAATGCTAAGTGGACAAATATTAAAGATTGCAGGAGGGTATCTGTTGAGATTCTTGGATACGATTAATTAGGGACGCGTTATCTACTTATTATTAGACGAACGATGCTACACTTGGCAACTGGTTCAGCTAACGCGAGGAAACAGTATTGGACTGAAGTGAGTTTACTCTAATCGAAGTATGAAGGTAACAACCCAAGGGCACAACTCATGCCTTTATATACAATAATGCCCCCTTAAGGGGAACAAAATAACATTAAAAGTGGGCTGTTAACCACAGTTCTTAGAAGCGGTAAAATCTAACGATACTCATGGGGCGGAAAAATGCACGAAAAGGCTAATTCAAATTTTCCATAAAATAAATTGAAGCATAAAATGTTCATTTTTGTGAATGTAACACCCCCAACAGTATAAAACTGTATCTTTGACCTCAGATATCGTGAAGCCAACTTTCTATACGTTGTCACTACCCATCTACAACGAACAATCCCAGGCGTTGAAATCTTGAGATAAATGGGTGCTGTGATTAATAAGATATGATATGATTATGGGCAATAATTTATGCTCGAAACGTCGTCAAGTAAATAACACTAGATCACTATGTGTTATAAATCAAATAAACAAACCTAATATGCGATATGTGTGGTTACCTAATACAAAATGAATCTATAACAGTCAAGGCTTTGTGATGGCCATGGCAAAGGTACGTCCAACCTTTGTCTTTGCCGTGGCCATCATGAAACCTTGACTGTCATAGATTCATTTTGTCTTAGGTAACTACACATGTATTTCCTTCATACCTTATTCATTTCCCCACTCTGTCATAGATTTAACCTGCACTACGTAATTACAATCTTATTTTCATAATCCCCTGTTTATTTTCCTACTCTAATTTATCGAAATAGTTATTTGTATATTTGTCTTTAAGCTTGAAAGTAGTTTGTCACATAGCTTCTTTTTTGAATAACAAATAAATAAGATTCACTTATATTACCTAATTTGTTTTACCTTTCTCTAACAGAAGTGAATTTCGATTTTGATAAGGAGTTGGTTCAAGTTTGTAATAAAACAGAGAGGAGTACTTTTGCTGCTTATTTACTTGGTGATAATGCCATGAACACTCATCCATCTGAATGCATATCAAGCAAAGAATTAGCCTCAGTAATCACATCAATTGAAGATCGTAAATTTTCATACTTATCTAAACCTTATCTAGTATTTTCTTCCAACATAGACGGTAATAGTCTGCGCACATTTTATGCCAAAGCAGCAGAAACACAAAATCCTGCAACAATCCTGTTAGTACGCAGTTCATCTAAAAGTAGTATTATTGGAGCTTTTTGTTCAGATAGATGGCAACCTCGTGCTGAATCTACATACTATGGAAATGGTTTCTGCTTTTTATTTCGTATCAAACCTGGCCCTTTTGTTATTTATAGGTGGATTGGTTCAGGATCAGATGATCAAACAATCATAAATTCACCCCAGTATCAACGTTTTCAACGATCTTCAAATAATGGTATCGAAATTGGTGGGAGTATGACTAGTGGACCTCCAGGTTTGAGCTTAGACAGTTGTCTCACTACAGCTTCAACTGGTCCGAGTTCAACTTTTTCTAATCCATGCCTAATTAGTGATCCTACTGATTTAACGCATACAATTCAGTGTGAAAATGGACAAATTGGCTGCATGTTCACTGTCGGTTTAGTTGAACTAATAGGTTTTACTGATCTCTAAAAACACTCAGATCTGTTTTTCTTAAAGCATTCTTCTTTTTTTTTATTCTTTATAATCCTCATCTTTATTTATTTATCCATCTCTTTTGTACACATTGTGATACAGTATCCCCAAAACATTTTTTTTGAGCTAATGGTTTATTCATTTCAATCCTGTACTGTGTAGGAAAATTCCTGCAAAAAATTATTTGTTGATCGTACTACTTATTATTAGCTGATGTGCAATTCACTATTTATCACCGAAATTCGTCTGAAATCTTTTGTTTATTTTGTTACTTATATATTTATTTTCTGTCTAGTCATATTGTTATCATGCTCAATTCATCTAATATTTATTCGTTTATGCCAAGAATAATGACTAGTTTATTTACTGTGTTCGACAAATTTTTGTTTCACTTGAGTCGCTTCTCATTTTTGTGTTTAGCCCGTTAAATAAGCATTTGTTTTTTCTTTTGAGATAATCTTCCAGGTTTATTTAGTGATTCGTAATTTTGTGTTGACATTCAATATTTCCAAATAGTTATTTAAAACATCGGTTGATTGTAACTGTTACGATTAATCACTGCCAAAGAAAGTTATTTAAAGATGATTATTTACCTTGAAGTGTTCATTTCTTATCATGTAGTTTGAGTTCGTTATAATAAAATGTAAGATGTTATGGGTGGAATGTAACTAAAATGTCTCTTACAAGTCAGTCTAGATCAACTACTGATTTTTATCACGTAGAACATTGAAACAGTATCCCTGGTATATTATTGTAGCGGAAGCTGTTCGAACACATAGATAAGCGCTGGATTTCGCAGCACTGGGTAAAGGTTCAACTTGTCAAGCCTCACATCCGGATATTGTTTTGAAAGCCAACAAGTGTAAAGCAAAAATAATATTAGCAGTCGTATGACTCAGATAAAAAGTAAAAAGAATAAAAAAATAGTTTTAGATGAAAATAAGTTATCGATGCATTCACGACCCATTCCCTTGAGGGTCTGTTTAACAAACCAGAAAATTCCTCTCAGTAGTGCTTTTTACCCTGGTAGACATTCAGCTACGTTACTAGCAGCATAATTGTGTGAAAGTCATTCGTACTGAGATTTCATCGACCACCGCCTCACAAGGGGTGATAGAAACTCTGAGGCATGTGAATGAGTAAATTCACTCAGCTACTTTTCTCCTTATTTTTCGAAGCCAATAGTCTCCGAAGCAATAATTCGGAGGTAAGAAAGATAACATACACACCATTGAGAATATTCAGCATCTCCCATTAGTAGTAATATAAAGCCAACATACTGTGAGTCAGTAAAGGAATTTCCGGTAAGGAGATAAAAGCAAAACTTCAGGTCATTAAAAAACAGTTACTGATTAACTCAGAAATTTCCTCCCGAACTTTTTGTGCTAGCGAAATTCATATTATGACCCTTGCTTTATTAGTTTTATATTCACAGTTCTTTTATATATACATCCCTTAATCCCGTCGAGATATAATTATGGCAATTCGTGAAGCATCAGTGACTTTAGAAAAACAATCGTTATTTATCTTCATGCTATGATGCACAAAATATATCTTTGAATTATTGACCACGTCTTCTGAGAGTTTTAGAGTTAAAAGTACAATTTTGCAAGAAAGGCATTGAATTTAAATTCTGAGTGTTTACTTAACCGATGCCGGACAACAGGCATACTTCGACATTGGCCCTTATATCCAAATGAACTGTGTTTGCAGCGTCAACAATCTGGAAAATGATAAACTCTGTTGCACGAAGATATTCACATCAGTTACATTCGAGGACTTCTAAATCCGAACGTGGTTGTTTTACCGTACTTAAAGGTACGTTCTCTTAGAGATTCTGAAATTGTTATCCAACGCAAATGATAAATATAAGCTTATCAATCGATAAGGCATGAGCTACTACTACTAACTATTGACCTTAAACTAGGTACGCACGTTTTATAAATTTGCAAACTGTTTGTTAGTTGAAACCACTGTGTTATCGTAGGTCATGCATAAGAATCCATTCAAATAGTCTCGAAAGTGCCATTCTTTGTAATGAGAAAAAACTCATGAATTATTTAGTTCGCATAATCAACAACTGATCACTGATGAACTTTGATTTCGTAAGCCTAACTAAATACATGGAAGTCAATTACTATTCGTATTCCTACTAAAAAAATGACTATATGACGTAAAGTCATAAGGCTGTAGCTGCAAAAAACCATAATAAACGTCGTTATGTATGATATCCTTCAGTTCAAATATTTGTAGGTGTAACAAGAAATGTTTAGACAACGAAATATTCAAAAACTCAAGAAGAAGAGCAATAAGATTTAATAAGGGAAGTTTTGCTTTTCGATTACATCATTTCCTAGCACTGCGCGAGCGTATCATGGTATTGGGCGTTGCTGATAAGAATGGATATAAGTAGTATATATTGAGAGGGTGGCAGAAATCATAGGGAATTACCAGCAATGAGTAAGGTTCCGCCAAGAGACAACGGGGGCGTACGAAGAACAAATCAAGAGAGAAGCAGAAAAGAAAATGAAGCATATTTTGCAAATGACCGTTTTAGTGCAAGGTGTACCATATTTAACGACTACTGTCCCACTTGTTGATGATAAACATTCGTTCCTTTGTATCTGTCTTCTTACTTCTTCCAATTGGTGTCGTTGCCTCTGGAAGTGAAGAAGATTCCGCAGTCTACAGTATTCGAGGATGGTGACATCAAGGTCTTCCTCAGGTACTTCGAGTCGGTCGCGGAGGTGGTGGGTGTCCGGGATCCAGGGGGTGAAGGTCATGGTTTTGGGCACGTTGCTGAGGGGTAGAGAGAAAGCAGCGTATGACGGCGCGGAACGTGGAGATGGGAAGGAGACTTAGCAGAGAATGGTTGACCGCCTGGAGACGGAGTTTGACAGCCCAGCGGACAGTGAGCTGACGATGCAGCAGTTCCGGGGCACGAAACTGGGAATAGGCAAAGATCCGCTGGTGTTGGCTGTGACGTTGACCAAACTACTTCGACGAGCACTTAACACGTTGGATGAGGACTTTCAAAAACAGTTTCTGGCTGTACAGTTCACCGAAAGTGTCCCGAATGACATCGTCCAGCACTTACGACTAGTGAAAGCAGCCTAACCCATGGACACCAGTGAGATGGCCAAGGTGACCAGTCAACTAATGGGTACAGCAGTAGCTGCAGTGGAGTCATCAGGGATAAGTAACCGGAAAAAAATCGGCAACCTTCAGGAAGAGGTGGCTGCACTTAGAATGGATATCAACAGACAGAGTAAATGCTTTGCATGCGGAAAACAGGGACACTGGCAAAAAAACTGTCCGTAGAGGCGAAAAAGAAAACGTTTTGAACGATATAATATGAATTCCGTTTTTCCGACTAGACTAGATATTGTAGGAGCCATAGATAGACGTGCTGTGTGTGCTAGAATACGAATAAATGATGGAGAGATCTTGTGTCTGGTAGATACGGGGCCGGCAGTCTCGCTGGTAGATAAGAGTCAATCTCAGAACAAGACCATGCGTTCTAACGGTCTACACGATTGGGGGGCATACATTAGAAATTGCAGGCTTATCAGATTGCGTCGTCGAGATCGGAAGTTGGAAAATTAGATTTCCATTCATTGTGACCACGCATCTACAACGGTCAATCCTAGGTGCTAATTTTTTGATAGAAGTGGACGCAGTTATTAACACGAGAACAGGAATAGTGGCGACACGGTACAAGCCGTTCACCGCGCAGGAAAACAGCCGGTTAGCAGAGATTAAGATGAGGTATCAAAAGCACCACACCCAGAAGTGCCAAACATCTTGAAGTTGGTTAAGAAATACGACAGATTTTTCACGGGAGGTGGAGACCCCTATGGTTATTGTGACAAGGTTCAGCATGACATCCCAGTAGCAAGTCAACCAATGACAACATTTATAACACGGCGAATACTATGTCACTTAGGAGAAATAGTTAGGCGCCCCGTTCTGGAAATGCTAAAAGAAAGGTATTATTAAAGAGGCTGATAGCCCATAAACGTTGCCAGTGCTTTTGGTAAGAAAGTCAAATGGGAAATATAGATTCTGCGTTGATTTCCGAGAGTTAAATAGCATGAAGCAACTGAAGCCGTGTGCCTTGCCGACGGTATTAACAATTCTGGACCTCCGATCAGGCTACTGGCAGCTACCAATAAAAGAAGGCGATAAAGAGAAAACAGCATTTATTGTGGGCAAGAAGCAATACCAATTCAAGAGAATGTCATTTGGTCTTGCAGGTGCGCCATTTACATTTAGATGGTTAAAGATGCTGTTGCTGAAGAATTTAGAGAGCGTAGAGGTGTACGGTGATGGTCTGGTGGTGTACAGTCAGACGGAGGCAGAACATCTAGAACACCTGGAAGCCGTGTTAAGACGCATTGACGAGTTTGGTCTTCGCATCAATAAAAGAAAATCTCAGGTAGCCAAGAGGAGTGTTACATTGATAGGACATAAAGTTGGGAACGGTGAACTAAAGCCACTACCTGATAAAATTCTGATGGTCAGAACTATTCCAGTGCCGAACTCCAAGCGGAAACTGCGATAGTTCTTGGGTAGAGTATCATTGTAAAGTCGGTTGCTCAAAAAGTTCAGTCAGATAGCAGCACTTTTATATAAGCTACTTGACAACCCAAAATTTATGTGGTCGAAGGAGGCACAGAAAACGTTTGATCACATCAAGGAACTCCTAAATGACCAGGAAATGACTTTAAAACTACCAATACCCGGGAGGCTATTCATCGTGTCCATCGATGCAAGTGGTTATGGAATAGGCGGAGTTCTGAGATAGACTGAAGGAATAGTGGAGTGTACCAGCCGTGTCCTGACACCTGCAGAGCAGAAATATTCCACAGTGGAAAAAGAATGTCTGGCGATAGTTTGAGCGCTTGAGAAATGGAGATCATCCTTCCTTGGTCAACGATCCCATATTGAAACTGATCATAAGCCTCTATAGTGGCTAAAGACAGCGAGAGATCCCA